TCTTCTCTTCTCTTCTCTTCTCTTCTCTTCTCTTCTCTTCTCTTCTCTTCTCTTCTCTTCTCTTCTCTTTTCTCTTCTCTTCTCTTCTCTTCTCTTCTCCTTTCCTTTTCCTTTTTCCTTTTTTCTTTTTTCTTTTTTCTTTTTTCTTTTTTTTTTCTTTTTTCTTTTTTTGCACCACGCCCGGAGATATTCAGAAGCCAGAGAAGATATTTTAGTCAATGGGAAGTTTTGCAAGGTGTTGATCTCCAGCTCTGGACAACCCTTCTGGTCTCAACACTCTGAACCACTTATGGCCAGCAAAGACTTTCTAAAAGCAGCCGTGCCTAGCGCACGCCGCAGAATAATCTGATCGAGATTGAAGCTAAGGTGTGTACACCAGTCGGGAAGCTCTCCAACTTGCCTGGGACAGGTTGCAATCAGAGGAGGCCAGCTTCATGGCTTTCAAAATGCTGGAGAAGGAAAGAGTGACAATTAGGAGCAAGCTGGAAGAATAACGTCCAAGCAGGACTTCAATGTCTGCTTCTTCATGCACAGCTAGATTTGAAGATATAAAGCAAGAAGGAACAAGATGTGGCCACAACCACTGAGATAGTGGTGCTTCTCTCTGTTCATCTACCCCCCAGAGGATGAGCCCACCTGATGGGACACCTTTGCCTAGGCCACATCTGATTTCTACCCCCCCAGAGAGACTCCTGAATCCAAACCCTAAGGGAGGGTCCGGAGATCTCTGGCTGCTCCTTTTCATCTCCTTCTCCTGGAAGCAGGGCTGAGAAATGCCTGGCAATATAGCCATCCAGAGCTAAACTTCTGAGGACGGACTGAGAATCTCACTTGGTTAGGGAAGAGCTACTGCACAGAGCTTGGGCGTTCGATGTAGTCCAGAGAAAGGGAGCCCTACCTCAATTCTGTCTTGATCTCCTCGTAATCTGATTGGGCACGAAGTTTTTCTTCCAACTTCTAAAGAATATACAAATGCATAGGGAGAGATATGCATATGCACATATACAGATATATTTAAAAATCCTAGTTCAAAGTCAGAAGTTGCTTATGGCCTGAAACAAATCTTAAGAAGAAAAGAAAGGCAGAGCTTTCCTCCAGGTCTTCCAGATATATTGAACTATGGATCTCATCATCTCTTGACAACCTGGAAAAGGTTGATCTAGCACATCATTAGCCCAGCACAAGAATTATTCAAATTTTGTCTGTGTTATAGACAATGGCACTTATTCACCCTTTTTTCGTTTTTAACTAAGTGATTGGACAAATTACAGTGTGTAATTGGTGATCTGGCTTAGATTAAAATAGATGAAAAATCCTTTCAACCCATTTTAACCCTTGGAAAATTTACCTGAATCTCTTTTCTTTTAATCTTAGAGAGATGAGGAGAAAGGATTCAATTTAATTCCACCCACCCACCCAGTTCTTGGGGAAATGCAACAGAAACGCCCACAGGATACGTACTTCAATGGCCTCGCTTTTGGCTGCCAACTGCCGTTCTAGGTCTGCAATTTGATTGGCTGAAGTATCTTCCATTTCTTGCATGGAGTTTTGCAAATGTTGAATTTCCTTGAGAAGTCGAAGGATTTCCCGATCCTTGGCAGCAAGCACTGCCTCTAGCCGTGGCCCCGGACACAAAGAGTAATTCACTTTATCCTGCAAAAAGAAGGCATTTCAGGGAAGAATGTACTAATTCTGAGGAATTCTCTAGCTAGCAATAATAAGGACTTGGAGTGGGGGACTCCTCCAAATCACTACATCCTGTTTTGTCCCTTCGGCCAATGGTAGACAGGCCATTTCATGCATCCTTGTGAAACACACACGTCTGCACACCAAAACAAATCAGTTGCAGGTGGCTACCTGTTGTGAAGCCATCTCTGACTTCAGAACCAGCAGAGTCCCTCAGCTGGGGGCTTCAGCAGAAGGTCCTGCTCTTTCAACAAGCAGGAGACCAACCTGGAGGCTTCATACTGCCTGTTCCTATTCTAAAGCAGAAGGAGGTGCTGGAGGCAGACAAGACTCTAGCAGCAAATGGGCTAGACCCCAGCCTCAGACACCCTAGTTCCTAACTCAAGACCTGGAAGCCCACACACCAAAACTGAATTATTTCTCAATATTTGGCCTAGATTAGCCTAGTCTGCACCAAGCCGATTGGAACCAGAATTCCTAGGGGGATGACTGAGGATTCTGGAAGTTGAAGATCTGTGCTTCTGGAAACTCCCACATGGGGCGACTTTCCAAGTCTGATTGATGAGGGTCCTCTTCTGGTCCTCACCCCACTAGGTCCTTGGGGAGAACAGCAAGCCAAGCGAAGGGAGCTGTTTACAGAGGCAAGCTGTTCCCGCAGGCTCTCCACCTCCCTCTGGGCAGCCTCGGCTCTCTATAAAGAGAAGAATCAGCAGTCAGAGCTTTTGGCTGAAACATCACACCACCCATCCATTTCCTCGGACCTTCCAGCTGTTTTTGTTTATAAGCCAAAGCCCTCTCCCCGTTACTGCCTGTCACTCACCTGGTTGGCCTTCTCAAGATTTGTCATTATCATGGCCACTTCATCTGTCCTAGGGCAAGAAGACAAGAGTTACGGTTGACTCCAAAAGCAACTACGAAGGCAACTAGGAACAGATGTCGCCATTTGTTCAGAAGGGGCAAAGAAGCACGAAGCGACAAAGGTGCCCCTCAGCTTGTCATGGCAAAGCAAACATCCAGAGTTTCTGATCTGTCATATTTTATCTAGTCTCCAATGAATCTCACTACAGGATGACTTAAATGTTAGATGTGGGGGGGGGGGACTGAATGAAGCTCAGAAAGTCTGGGGTCTTTTCCTCCTTTCACCTCTAAAAAGGACGGAAAACAGCGCCAAAATGCCTGTCCGCCCTTCCTCCCCTTCCGTTCCTCCTCGTTCAGCAGGCACAAGCCCCAGTCTTGATCAAAGGCAATGTTATTTCGTACCACGTGCCAAAAGGGCACACATGACACGATCAAAGTCAATCTGGTTTGGTATGATATGATTAAGTGTTCTTAGCACAGTCACATATGAGAAAAGAGAACGTTGAGGATTGTAGTTATGGCAGAACATCAGTGAGAATGCTGGAAACATTTGGAAGGGGGGAGGAAGAAGCCACACGTGCCAGTGTGTGCACGTGCGCGCACACACACACACACACACACACACACATCTTGAGCAGCCTGCCTGAAAATAGAAAGCTCTGCCTTGTTTCAGAAAATCAAAATGGCTTGCACCCAAGGAATATAAACATTAAACAAGCATGGGTTTCATGAAGTATGTGAAACAAAATCAGGGGATGTTTATGGGGCAAGACTGGAGATCTGCACATATTGTTCCTCCTTGTCAAAAGTTCTCAAGGCAGAAAAATCTCCTATTTCAGATGCCAGTGAACAGAGAGGAGGAGGAGGAGGAGGAGGAGGAGGATTGAGTTGCTTTGCATCTCTCTTCTTATCACAGACACAAAGATACAGACATTTTTCCCCAGCTTCTACGATTTCTTAAGCCTCCCTATTTATTAAGTCCTTTTCAAATATTCATCTGAACCTTCTCCTGTTTGGACACAAGGTGATACATCCCATAATCCTCTCAGCCTGACTGGGAGACATGAGCTATACAGACAAACGCATCTGACTGAACAGAACAAGCAAACCAACTTACTTGGAAGCTGCTTCTTCATCATATTTACACCTCAGGTCAACCAGCTCCGTCTGGGTAGCCTTTAGTGCTGGCCAGCAACGGGGAGAACATAAAACCAGAGAGTAAGAAAGTGCTCATCCTGGACTGTCCCAGAAACACGTACCATGAAGTTATTTTAAAGAACGTTGCTCAGGGCTAGTAAGTACTTCGGTCATAAACTGGATAATTAGGAGGGGAAAAAATGGAGATTTTTGTAGACCCATTGGCTCATCCAACTATCTCCAGGCTTAGAATTGAGCAGAAAATCTGTCTATGAGCTATAGATCTTGGCATCTGGCATGTGCCATCCTGGTTCGCATTGCTACTTTTCTGGATTGTGGATTAAGAGAGATTGCAACGCCTAATCAACTCTTCAGTTAAGACCAATATTTCTGGATGAACTCAAAGGATAGATTTCATTATTAGGTAGCAGAGGTTTACATTTTCAGAAATCATTTTGAATACAAGTGCTCTTTCTCTCTTCCATGCAGGCACAGGCAACCAGTCTGATCAAAATGCTAATTTCAGTTGAGGGTTGGATTAAGATTCAGAATGAAGTTGTCATAAAAAGGAAAGAATCTGAGAGACTGAAAGAAAGAGAGAGGGAGACTGGGCCATCGCTCCAATGTCTGAGAGAAAACGCCAGACGTTGGAGAAGCAAAGAAAATTGGGCGCAGCTCCAAGTGAATAGGTGATCTTTCAATAGATACAAAAAAAAAAAAAGCTGCTTTTTCTTAAGAGCTAAGTGGAGCAGAGAGAAGGTGCCACGCTGAGCTTCACAAATGCACGAATCCACAGAGAATTAACGTGGAGCAGGAGGAAGCCACGGGAAGTGCTTCTGCTACCTTCTACTGAGTCTCCATCGATTGTTAAAGTACCTGAATGGAGGACTTTGATCTTCTCTTCTGCTTCCCCCAGCCGACTGGCCAAAGTGAACTGGGCTTCTTGAAGGCCCCTGAGAAAAGAGATGTATCACCTTGATTGGACAAGGCACCCACATCAGAGCCCGGAACAAAGCACCCTTCCCCAGCCAGATGTCCATCCCCTTTGATGTACCTCCCATCCTTCCCAATATACTGAATTGAGGAAGCTGAGTATACTGGCTGAGGAAGCTATCTCTTGTTTTCCAATACATCTAGAGACCTCCTCTGATTTGAGAGAATTTTAAAAAAAGGGGCGGGGAGGGGATTTTTCACTTTATCCCTTTCTAGAGATAAAGTCCCCTAAATTCTTCAAAAAGAGGAGTTGGGTCTTTTCATAAGGAAAATCTGTGAAAAGTGCCTCATGCTGACAGATTTTGGTTCACGGGTTTTATTATTTATTAGGGTTAGGGTTGCGCCTGAACTGCAGCGACAGAGTCTCATTAATTTGTAGAGGAATGGTTTTTCAAGCTCTCTGGAGCCCACCGAGGAAGAACTGGTGCTTCTTACATAAAATTGGTCCTTCCTTCTAAATCCTCAGGCAGCATAAATGTCGCTGCAGGGCAGTTTCTATCAGACCATGGAGCTAAGTCAACCTTTGCAGATCTTGGAAAAGGTGGGAGGAGGAGCCTGAAACGCAGCCGACTCGGCTGTGCACAGGGCTGGGCTTAACCACCTCCTGCCCTCCTTCTGTCCTTACGTTTCCTTTACGTTTCCTTTTGAAGATGACAACCCTCCCATCTCCCTTCCTGTCTTCACCCTTCTCCTAGCTCCTACTCACGTACTTTTGCTTCTCAACCTCATTTCTCTGCAGCAATGAGTCGGTCAGCAACGCTGTGCTGTTGAGGCCAGCGAGCTTGGCCTCTGAAGCTGCGAGTCCAGCCGGAAGGGTTCCTTCTGTTTGCTCTGGGGGAGCAAAAAGCCACATCAGCAATAGGATCGGTGTAAACAGGAGAGGCCTTCCCAGCTAGTTAACATCGCTGGCCGCCTCCTTCAAATCATTTCATCTGTGGGCAACGGGCAGCAGATCTGCGAGGCTCACAGGACGTGGGGGAGCAGGTCTATTTGACTGCCCTGGTATTAGAAGAGGCAGAGCAGCGTAACCATCTTCTTGATGAAGACAAGCAACGAATGCCGAGCCCAGGTCTTCTGCAATCTTGGTGGTGCTTCCTCTGCAGCTGAGCGCTGCTGAATATGTGTGACTCAAAAAGGGACCCGCTGCCTGAAGAATCATCACCTTCTCCGCTTCAAGCGCCATCTCCAACTGCTGAAATCCTTTAAGGTTTCAGCAAGATCACACGGAACACAAAATCACACAAAGTTCAGACAATCTCAGATGAGATTTGCAAACATTCAGCATTTAAAAAAAAAATCTTTTTGAGGGCTCCAAGGCCCTTGGAGGGTACCCTGGCAGTTCTGGGCACCTTAGTGCTGGCATGGTGGATTTGTCCTCTGCAGACTCTCTTTACTTGGTTAAAAGAGAGCCTGGAGAATGGCCTCCTTCCCCCCATGCCAGTGGCAGGGGCAGGTGGGCTCGTGGAAGAGCAAGGCAGAAGGAAGTTGGAGAAAGCAAGCGAACGAGAATTTATATGTGCAAGATGGGAGTTATCAGCCAGATGATGACAAGATTAAGAACTAATTGGGCTATTTGGCAGACAAAGCAGGAGAAGCCAAACTGGGGAAAAGCAGAAGTACCGTATGCAAAGACTTGTCCATGCACTTTCCAAGCACACCCTTGAAGCGTAATGGCTCCTGACTTGACTCTTGGGGGGGTCTCCAGAAAACAGGCCTCTGTATTTCTCCCTGTACTGCATTTCTCCTGCATTTGGAGCCGGCTCCCTTCTGCTGCATCCAAAAAAGAGCCAGCGGAAGAACAAGGATATTTGGGGTACCTTTAGGGAACAGCAGCTCCTTCTTCCAGGGCCCGTTCAACTCCTTCAGCGGGGGATTCTCAGGGCCAAGGCAATGCAGTGGCTGGTGCCGCCCTTCGAGGTTCCTCACTGTTTCAAGGGCGGGTACAGGATCTGCGGGAGGGAAGAGGAGAAAGGCAGGAGGTGACCCTGGAGGTCCGGCAGGGGCAGAACGCGCCTTCCGCGCACCTCCTGAAACCAAGGGACAATGCTTACGCCGGGCTCCTTCAGCACCAGAAGCCATCGGTCAGCTCAGCTCTACCACACAGGGCAACCCACAAATCCTCGAGTTCAAGCTTTCAAATTGCAAAGAGCGGCGTTCTTTAAAAGAAACCCCAGCGCAAAAACGGTAGGTGTTACTAACGGCGTGTTCACAGACCTGTTTAGACGTGACGATGCCTCTAAAGATCACCACCAAGGGGTTCTAAGCCCTGTCTGTACAGGACGTAAATGGGTTCTGTCTACGTGGGCCTGCTGAGGGGGTGGTGGTGGTGGTGGGATTTCAGAATTTCAACAAGTAGAGGCAACGATTTTCTCAAGCATTTCTGCCACCCATAAAACAGAGAAACCCCAATGCTGGCATGTTCTGCACACTGGTTTTTGAACCATAGTCATATTCTGTTCCTTCTCTATCCTTGCCTTTCGCAGACCTCAGCACAGAACAGTGGAGGGAAAACATCCCGCGGTGGCAGAGTGGGTAGCCCAGGTCAGAAGCCCAACCGTGAGAGGATGGATGGCGCTGTCTTCACCCAGGGGCAGAGCTGGGTCCGTGGCTAAGGGAGCCACGCTGAGAAACTCCCTTCCTTGCCAGTCTTAGTGAGCCTGGGCTCCAGCAGGCCTGCCCAGTGCCCCGGCCTGGACTCTGTTTCCATCCAACGGCACGTTTTGCCAACAATGCCCGTTTGCTTAGGCAGGGGTAGGCAGGGGCCAAAGTGATTTCTGCCAGGTAAGCAGGTGCATGCCACAGAGGCCCGTTCCTCTCCTGGGGCAATGTGCCATTATTAGCCAGAGCTGCCTGGCAAGGGTGCTCCATTACGCCTCCCGGGCCAATGTAATTATACATTGACATAATTAACCCAGCAAACCCATTAGGAAGGCCAGCTAAAAAATGCATCCATAATTATTTGTTGTGTGCATGCTAATGAGTCCATCTGCACTGCCATTGTACGACACAAACAAATTAATTTACCAGCCCAGATCATTTTTAATAAATTCGAAAAATGGTGTTGATGGTCTCTCTCTTCCTTTTCCTTGTTTCTTTTCAGAGTTGGGGGGGGGGGAGGAAGTCCCATTTTCTTGGTCCAAAATTTGGCAAATATTACAAAGGAAGGAAATCAGCCTTTTCTTGCTACCGCTCGAGATAAAGCCAGTGGTAAAATGAACCCTCACAAAAAATAATGTTCCAAATTAGAATAATAATTAAGTCAGGAAAATCAAATGGAAGCCATCTTATCGGGGTGTCCGCAGGGTGTGGTCAAAAAAGTCAAGATGGCAGCTGCGGCAGAGCAATAAAAAATTCTGCCTGTTTTTATGTGCACTGCAGCCACCTTCTTGACCTTTCTGACCACACCCTGGAGACAACCCTGCATTTCATACTGTCCTCATTAGCAATGACACCGATTTAGCCCTTGTCACAGAAAGCAAAATTTCCCTAGGGTTGCCAGGCAAACCTTTTTGGGGAAAAAAGCACCCAAAAAAATGGATGACCTCTAAGGAACAGCCACTTTTCCCGCAACAGGTACTCTTCTTGACTATCCCTTCACTGAACCATGCCACCCTTCAGTCCCTCCCTCCCTCTGGGGATGGGTGGGTAAATGCCCAAGGTGATGCTCCTGGATGTGACACGAAGCTTCACAGGGATTTGGAAAAGGCAATGGGCCACAGGGCTGCTGTTGACTGATGGACTGACTGATTTTTCAAATGTATATATGCCGCCCATCTCACTATACAAATGACTCTAGGCGCCGTTACAGATAAAAAACTAGAAAATCCTAGAAAAATATATAGGTTAAAAACTACAAAAGGTTCAAATTAAGCTAAAAAGTGCAAACTAAAAAGGCAGAGAGAGTGTCCTCAGGCACTCTCCACCCCCAGTGCGGTGAACCCCCATTTTTCAGGAGCTGTCCCGCAATTTTAATCAGGTTGCATTCCATCTTCTTTTGCGGGGGGAGTGTGGCATCTGTCTGGGGCCTGGATTGGGCCCTCCCGCGCCATGGAATGCCAGCAGCATCACGAAAACCACGGTCTCCCACACGCACTGTGGGGCCAACACAACAGGCTCGACCTTTTCTCCTCTAATCCTTGCCTGTGTCTGGAGGCCATTGGATCACCGAATACTGGCACTTGTAGCCCAGAAGTCGTTTTTACAACTGCGCCTGATGGTTGTGCCAGAGTCGAGCCAAGAAACACTCTTCTCCACTGGGGCTCCTTGTCCTCCTGCCTCCAGCTTTTAACATAAAGCAGGGCAGTGAAAGCACGGGGTGCATGACCTAAAAAACTGTGAAAAGATGCCATCTTCCTCGAAGCTACGGATTTAATCGTATGCATCACAGATTTAGCAGAGTAATCAATCAAATCTGTTTTAAATCAATGAAGATTTCTTAATGAGAGGAGAGCCTTGCCCAGACAGGGAAAAATCACCCAGATCTGCAGATAGACAGCAAAACGTTCTGGTAAAACCGCTTCCTTCCTGGATGGGAGGCCACCATGGACTCACCTTGAGTTCTACAAGGATAGGAAGGCAGGATGCAACCTTGTTAAAGAAACATGCATGCGATGAAGAAGCTGTCAGTGAATCGCTTCAGCGAGGAGCTCTTGCATAAATGTTTCAGCATGACACCTCTGTCTGAGCCTTGTCAGATGCTCACAGGTGCCTGTTAAGAAGCTGAGCCCCAAAGAGACGGTTCCGGTTTCTCTCTTGCCAGGGCCCAAGATGCAGCAGAAGAAAACTTCCTCGTGGTAGTGCTGTGAAGTGGAAGCCATAAATCCAGCACCAGTAAAAGGGCAGCTGCATCTCTTGCCAGCCGGACGATCCACCTGTTGACACCCCAGCTGCAGTGGGTCGTCAGTGGGAGACGTGGAGCGTAGCTGGTCTTGGAGGAGCACAGAAGACAAAGGACGGCTAACTTTACAGCTGCTAATAACATTTGCAGCTCTGAGAGCTAAGATAACGATACGGACCATTAAGCCACACGCTTCAGGGTGCAAGCTGATGAGGAGGAATTCCAACTGCCTCGTCTCCGGGAGGTGGGTTGAGTGGCTTTTGCTTGAGGGCAGAGCAAAGGGGTTGGAGGTCCAACCTTTCTCAGTGAAGGGGGTCGCAAGGAGCAGTAGCAGCAGAGCCAAAGGCGAGGACGTGAAGATGGGTCTTCCTAGATGAGGCCAGAGGCGCCTAACCCAGTCCAGCAGCTGGAATGACCCCATGACCAGCTGGAAACCCTAGGACAACCAGTTCCAGAACTGTAGCAGACCAGGAGACCCAGATTCAAGTTCACGCTCAACCCAGAAAATCCACCCGGTGACTTTGGGCTGGTCCCTGTTTTCTAACAACCTCAAGGGTTTATTAGGAAAGACGGCTACTAGGTCAATGCAGCCTCCTCTGCACAGCAAACGCAAGGCTCAGATTACAATGAAAGAGGGGGTGCTTTGGCTTAGGGGCAACCCCTGGGAACCCATCCCACTACAGCATTAATTCTGAAAAGAGGAGGTGCCATTTTAACTCAGTAAGCCGGGTGAAAGTGCTGGATTGTACTGAGATTTAGTACATTTCTTCCCCCAATGTATGATTTTTTGGCATACAGTGAGATGTTGCATTTGAAAAATAGGATTCTGAGGTGGTATGTCTTAAACTCAGGGTTTTCTTCCTCTCAGGTAACTAAGGAATTGAAAAACACAAGTCCACCTATTTGAATGTCCAGCTATTAGGGGGGACATTGTTAAACATTGTGCACAAACTATCGTTTATCCTAGGTATAGTTTCTGGGCCAGCCAGCTAAAGAATAAAGGAAAAAGAGACCCTCTACCTGCTCTATTCAGCTCAGCCTTTGGTGTAATAAAGTACTGACTCGCTATGACTCTCCAGCAAGCAAAATATTAACTTTAAAGATAGGCAGAGAGAGAGAGAGAGAGAGAGAGAGAGAGAGAGAGAGAGAGAGAGAGAGAGAG